AGTATTTAAAATTGGCTTATTTATAAATTTCTTAAATTTTGGATAAAGAAAATTGAGAAAAATAAAAACTACAAATAAAAAAAATATATTCTTTATATGCATTTTATAATTGTAAATGTAATTTTTTGCTTTAAAAAATATTATGACATGAGTATGTACAGAGTAGTTTAACAGAATAAAAAAAAATATATATTTTTTTTTTACATATTAATATAATATCTTTATAAAAAAAGATGTCTGGACGGAGTCATTTTCATGATTTAGCACAGTAATGACTAATAATAATCATAATAGAAAATAGAAAATAGCAAACTCAAAATGTAAGCATCCAGACATTGTCATGAAAATAATGTAGCAATACAAACAAAAAGGCTTAATTACTTTCAACTTTAAAACGGAATGAAATGTAACACATTTTGTGTTTTTCTGCATTACTGTGTCGTGTTTCTGTGAGGTTCTGGTTTGTGTCTGATTTCTCACGATGACGTCAGAGGCTGCAGTGACATCAGCAGCTCTGAGTAAAGCAGTCTGTCATCATTCGCCTGCATTATCTGCTTCCAGACACTCGATCGTCAACTATGAGGAAGTCCTTAAACACTGGACACTCCTCTGTGAGGCTGCTAGTGACTATCTAGTGTGGACTGTCTGGTTCACTCATATGGCAGCACTACTAGTATTGCTGTCTCTTTGCAGTGTTATTGTTTTTTATGCCAAAAATCATGAGGATATTAAGTAAAGATCATGTTCCATGAAGATATTTAGTAAATGTCCTACCGTAAATATATCAAAACTTAATTTTTGATTAGTAATATGCATTGCTAAGAACTTCATTTGAACAACTTTAAAGATGATTTTCTCAATATTTTAGTTTTTTTTTGCACCCTCAGATTCCAGATTTTCAAATAATTGTATCTCAGCCAAATATTGTCCGATCATAACAAGCTTATTTATTCAGCTTTCAGATGATGTATAAATCTCAATTTCACAAAATCGTCCCTTATGACTGGTTTTGTGCTCCAGGGTCACGTATTTATATTAAATTATATTTATATTTTATATTTTTATTTTATTTTTAAAATATGTTATATAGTTTTTTTATTAATTTTTATTTTAGATTTAGTTATTTTAGTACATTAAGTTAAAGTAAATGAAAATGAGAAATGTTGGCAAATAGTTTAAAGTTTAATATATTGTTTAATTTCAATTAAAGTATTTTATTTCAAGTAACGAAAATGTTTTTTTTTTTTTTTATGGTATTAGTTTTAGTTTACTATAATAGCCCTGCTCTGTTGAATCACTTATATTTTCATTCTAATTTTATTTGCAGGCTATTTTGCATCCTCATAGCGACCGAACCTCTGCGCACCCTTGTGCAATGTCATACTTTACTACTTTTAAGTCCTTGAAGCGCACTTCTGTGTGATTGAGATGAGATATTTAGTCCTAAAGGGCAGCGATTGATTAATGAATGCTGTGGGAATATCTTTGGCGTTTATGGGTCGTTTACCCAGACGTCCGTACAGTCGCTCTATGCGGCTTGCGTGTTTTATTATGCATGTTGAATGAAGGACAAACAGAAAGTGTGAGCGGAAACTGAGCTGGCCATGTGACAGATGAACCCGCTTGACCAGACAGGATTTCAGTAGCCAGATCAGGACTGGGAAAATTAAGTGATTCTTGATAGCAATTTAGTCTGATGTGGCTTAGTGTTTATTACTTTTAAATGACTGTTTAATGCTGCTCATAGGTGGTACGAATGCATTTACACGGCAAATATAACTGTGTGCTTTGATACGAGGGGTTGAGGTGGATCAGAGCACGCATAAGTCAGTCTGGCTTTTATGCAGCATTGCGTCTTCACACAGAATGTTGAGCAGGCACAGAGCAGCATTAACTAGCTGTTAATACCTCACTAATGGCAAACTTACACTGCAAAGGTGGCACAGAAGCGCCTCTGAAGTGGCATTTAGGGGTCTTTACAGCAAGTGTTTGCTGCGCAGATGTGGTACGAATGCATAACGTATGCTTTTATACGAGGGGCTGAGGTGGATCAGAGCAGGCTTAATTTAGACTGGCTTTTATGCTGCTTTATGTCTTTGCACTGAATTTTGAGAAGGCAGAGAGCAGCATTAAGTCGATTAAGACAAAACTAGCTGTTAATACCTCACCAATGCCAAGTTTACACTGCAAAGGTGGCACAGAAGCGCCTCTGATGTGGCATTTAGGTGTCTTTACAGCAAGTGTTTGGGTCAGAACAGGCTCCATTTAGTCTGACTTTTATGCTGCATTACGTTTTTATACTGAAGTTTGAGCAGGCGTAGAGCAGCCTTAACTCAGTTAAGACATAACTAGCAGCTAATACCTCACTAATGCCAAGTTTACACTGCAAAGGTGGCACAAAGGCACCTCTGAAGTGGCATTTAGGTTACTATTTAATGCTGCTCAGAAGTCGTACGAATGCATTTACACAATAAATACAACTGTGTGCTTTTATACGAGGGGCAGAGGTGGATCAGAGCAGGCTTAATTTAGACTGGCTTTTATGCTGCTTTATGTCTTTGCACTGAATTTTGAGCAGGCACAGAGCAGCGTTAACTCGATTAAGACAAAACTAGCTGTTAATACCTCACTAATGCCAAATTTACACTGCAAAGGTGGCACAGAAGCGCCTCTGAAGTGGCATTAAGGTGACTGTTTAAAGTGGAAGTGAAGCAGTCAGTCAGGTTTACATTTAGTAAACTGGTTTCCACTTTAATTAAAAAATATATAACAAACACGATTAATGTAACCATTTTAAAGAAAAAAGGATGTTTTGTTATCGCTTTTGGAGCAAGTGCACCGTTGTCTCGCAGTACCACAGCGTGTGACGTCACAGGGCTGGTTTCTCTGTTGTCCAGTGAAGAAATATAAGCATTTCTTGACTGTTTGAACACACACTTGTTTTGAAATGAAGGAAGACGAACTTGGAAGGACTGTTGAGCCCATAATAAGTGCAACTGCTCATGCATTTGAGCCGATACGGCGAGGGGACCGAGCAGAAATACCGTTACGGGTGAAAGAAGTCGTGAACTCAATTTGGTATTAGATTTATCGTCCTGTTAACAGCAGGTAAACTAATTGTACTCGCAGGTGAACATAAAATATGTTACATACCACTACTGGTGAAGGAGGCAGTGTAATGCAAATATGTTTGAAAGGTCTGACATAACAATAAAGATGCGACATGAACGATATTGAATGAAGCATTGTTTGTTTACATCACGTTGCGCCTCGTGTAATAGAAACAATGTTTGGGATACCACGATCAAAACTTCGTGATGTAGACAGTTTGATGCTGGATATTCATGCATTATGTAATGTATGAATGCATTTACACAACAAATACAACTGTGCGCTTTTATATGGATCAGAGCAGGCATAATTTAGACTGGCTTTTATCCAGCATTGCATCTTTACACTGAATTTTGAGCAGGCACAGAGCAGCATTAACCCAGCTGTGCGAAGATGCCACAAAATGGTATTTTGACCAAGAAATGCACACTAGTTTACATGCAAATTTGCATGTGAGCATTTATCAGTGTATTGTGGAAGGACTGGACTGATATCACATCATATTTTTGCATTTGCATGTTAGTATGCGTTCGGTACCGATGCATCTGACATCCATAGAAAGCAGCGTCTAGCTGAGGAGATCCTGACGGATGTTTCATTTCTTTCGTAACCGGCATGCCTTTCATAGCTCTGCGTGGGCGACGGCGTGTAGGAGAGGCCGTCATATGTCGAAATCACCCTTGGGCACCTTGACAATCAATTGAAAGGAATATAATTCACTCCGTTTGCATGTAGGCTCCTGCTACCTGAAGTACGAGACGCAGCGGCGTGAAATTAAAGGCCATTAGCATCACAAACGAGCGTGCAACAGGCCGAGTGTGTAGGCAGTGTGACGCTGGGAAGCAGGACAGAAGCTGTTGAGTTTTATGAGCTGATGTTGGTGACTCATACTGCTGATGCTCTCGCTCTCTCCGCTTGCGTCGTGTCCTCGGCTGTGAAACGGGAATGCCAGGCTTGACCAGAGATGGCTGTTTGTTGTGGTATAAGCTGGAGTCTGACTAGCCCTTTAGGTCCATTCGCGTGACTCACGTGACGGGTCGGGATGGTTAAGTAGCCTAGCCTCAGCTTTAATATTTTTAGTGATGGTGCTTTACAGGCTATTAATTATTGGCAGGGTTTGTAGCATGCCGTTCAGAGACTGTTGGACTGTTAGCATGCTAAAACTCTCTCGGACACATTGCATCTCTTAATGTAAAACACCAGCACTACAGCCAAACCAGTGCTTTTGGAACGAATTTGAAAATGTTGAGACAAATACTGTTGAATTCCAAGTATTATTCAGTATAAA